GCGCAAGTATGGGAGGGAGCGGCGGACGAGGCGGCGGCATGGCGGGCGATGCACCGCCCGGGTTGCCGTCCGCCGCCGCCCCCAAAGGGCCGCCGGAGGCCGCGTCCGCTCCGGCCCCGCCTCGTGTGGAGGCCCCGCCTGCGGCTCCCGCCCCCGCGGCGTCGGGCGGGAGGACCGCAGGGAGGACCGTCTCGTTTAGCTGCTCGAGCTGCGCCAAGAAGCTCATCCTGCGCCTGAGCGCCTCGCAGCTCGCCTCGCCCACGCCCATCACCTGCTCGTGCTCGAGCTGCGGCTCCGTCTTGAAAATCAACCTGCCGCCCTCCGACAAGGCGAAGCCGAAGCCGCCGCCGCTGCCACCGCCGAGCGCCGCGGCGCCGGGGCCGTCTTCGCTCCGCCCCCCGCCCGCGCCCAAGCCGGCCAAGGGCGGCGCAGCGCCGAGCGCGGCGCCGAAGACGGTTGAGCGCACCTTCCAGTGCTCGTGCGTGAGCTGCGGCGCCAAGCTCCGCTTCACGCTCTCCTGCCCTCCCAACGCGTGCACCGCCTCCACCAAGTGCGCGATGTGCCACGCCGAGCTGCGCGTGCGCATCCCCTCGCTCAAGCCGCCCGCGCCAGGCGCCGATCCGTCCCCCGGCGCCAGCAGCGAGCGGACCCGCGCGTGGGCGTGCGGCGTGCGGGACGCCGCCTTCGCCGAGGAGGAGCGGGAGGACACGGAGGCGCCGCTGCCGCTGCCCGAGGCGCTGCTGCACTGGCATTGGGCCAACCTAGAGTACGCCAACGGGACGCAGCTCCACTCCCTCTCCAACCGCTGGTGGGACGCCGACGACGAGTTCGACTTCGGAGGCGGCCACTACCTGCTGCCCGACGGGTACGGCGGGCTGCTGCGCAAGGTGTGCACGGCCGCACCACCCACGGCCCGCACGCGTCCCACTTACCGGCGCGCCCCAGACCTGGCACCCCCCCCCCCCCCTCCCCCCAGGTGGCTGCTGGCCTCGACATCCGGCTTGGGCACGAGGTGAGGGCGTCTCGAGAAGGGGCGTCCGTGACACAACGACGCGCCCGTGACACGCCCCCCCCTCCCCTCCCCAAGGTCAAGACGGTCAAGAAGGAGCCGCGCGGCGTGCTCGTCGAGGCGGTCAACGGAGGCAGCCCGGTCATCTTCACGGCGGACGTCGCCATCTGCTCGCTCCCGCTGGGCGTGCTCAAGGCCGGCGCGGTGGTGTTCGAGCCGCCGCTCCCGCCGCGCAAGCAGGAGCCGCGCCGCGCCGCAGCTGCCGCGCCGCTCCTCTGCCCCTCCGGGATCTTGTGGAGCCGCACGGCCAGAGAGCCTTCTCAGCCGCTCCCCGCCGCCGCGCAGGAGGCGATCGAGCGACTCGGCTTCGGGTCGCTCAACAAGGTGCTGCTCGGCTTCGAGCGGCCCTTTTGGGAGGAGCGCGAGGGCGGCCGCGACTTTTGGGGGTGGACGGCGCCCAACGGGCGCAGGCGCGGCGAGGCCTTCCAGTTTTGGAACCTGCAGCGCTCCACGGGACGGCCTCTGCTGCTGGTGCTCCACGCCGGCCGCGCGGCGCTTCGCAAGGCGCGCGCCCCTCTGCGCGAGGCGCCCGGTGGGCAAGAGGCACCGCCGCCCCTCCAGCCGCCCCCCGTCGCCGCCGGCAGGAGGACACGCGCGAGGAGGCGAAGGAGGCCGCCATCCGCGCGACGATGGACGCTCTGCGCGCCATCTTTGGGGAGGAGGCCGTGCCGGCGCCGACGCTCAAGCTGGCCACCCAGTGGGAGCACGAGCACTTTTCGCGCGGCGTCTACTCGCACGTCGCCGTCGGCGCGACGGCGCGCGACTACGACGTGCTCGCCGAGCCGCTGTGGGGCGACTCGCTCCTCTTCGCGGGCGAGGCGACCTCGCGCGAGCACCCGGCGACGGTTGCAGGCGGCCCGGTCCACGCATGGCGCGCGGCCCACCGCCTCCAGCGCTCCTTCAGGCGTCCGTCTGCGCGCGAATAGGTGCCTTCCTCAGCGGCTTGCGCGAGGCCGGCCGGATTGATTGCGCGCTGCACCCGAAGCTGCCGACGCAGCCGGCCGCCGCGCTGGCGCGGCGAGGCAGCGCGCCACGGCCTCCGGCAGCGGCGCCCGCGCCGCCCGCGCCGCCCGCGCCGCCCGCGCCGCCCGCGCCCGCCGCGCCAGTGGCGCCCGCCGCGGCAAGCCCCGCGCCCGCCGCGCCCGCCGCCCCAGTGGCGTTGGAGCGTCCTGTGGCAGCGGAGCGCCCGGCCGCTGTGCCTGCGCTGCCCGTTGCGCCGCCGCCCGCCGGGTTTCCTGATGCACTGGCGGCCGCGTCGAGCACGCAAGCCGCGCCGCAAGTTGCTGTCGCGGCGGGAGAGCCGCGCCCCGGCGTGCTCTCTGTTGGGTAGGCACGCGACGCGGCACAGGGGCAGTGCCAGGCGCGCGTGCGCGCGCGATCTGCCGCGAGGCGTAATCTCATGGCATGCGGTGTGCGCATACTTCATACTACAATGGAGCTGTCCGGCTGTTCGCAGAGAGGGAGGACGATCCAGCGCGATACCTCATACAGATACACATACGTACTTCGGACGGAACGTCGTGTTGTTGGGCCGTGTCGCGCTGACTAGAGGCTTTTCGTGAGACCGTGTTGGTTCATGGTTGGCCGCGAGAGATCTAGCTCCCGAAAGGCGAAACCGTCGAGCCGTAGAGACAAGAGAGCTCTAGCGCTCCCGAAACCGTCGCGCGGGAAGCGGGATCGGGGGTGTCAACATACAACAACACGACGTTTCCCCCACGAGCACGACACAGAGAGGCGACCGCGTGGCACGTGCATCGTGCTGCATGTGGCACTTAATCTTAAACTTACTGACAGACAGGGCCGGGGGGGGGCGCGCGGGGGGGGGGGGGGGCACGTACCCCCCTTGCACCTGAATGGGGGAAGTCCCTAGGGAAGTCCGAACCGCGTGGCTTGTGTGGCCGCCGAGGCAATCACTACACTGCCTGGATTCGCCTTGCAAGCCTCGTCGGACTCGGAGGTGCCAGATGGCGCGCTTCGCGCGCTTTCCGCTTTCCAGAGCGGCTCCCGTATCAACCTGTACCCACCTACCGGTACCTGGGTACCCAGCCCTATCCGACTCTCCCCTGGGCAAGTCGCGCCGATTCAGCAGGCCTGGGTGCGAGCTCTCATCGCGCTCGTGCCGTCGCGCCTCGAGCACGACTCGCACGGCAGGGTGGCAGCGGCCGACGCTGCAGGGGCCCATGATGCAATCCGACCCTCCACCGATCGCGGGCAGCGTCCAAGTCGGCTCCGAGCTGTGGCGCTCGCTCGGCCAGATCCACACGCGCGCTAACGCCCACCGCGAGCAGTTGGAGAATGCCATGTCAGCGGGCGCCTCATGCATCACCTTCGAGCTCGCGCGACCGGCCAAACTCGGTGCAAGCGACGGCGCGGGCGACATGCTCTGCGTGTTCACCGACACGGCAATCGACCTCTCCGTGGCCCTTGATATTGGCCACTCCAAAGAAAAGGACGCGGCTGCACCGGTTGTGCGCAACAAGGGCGCGCTCAACAACTTTGGCATCGGCCTCAAGGTGTTTCAAGCGTCGCTCGGCCTCCAGACGCAGGTCACCATCTTCACCTACCAGCGCTTCGCGGACGGCGGCGAGGTCCTGGTCGCGGCGCGCATGGGCAGCGCCATCGACGCGCACTTTGCTGCCCTCTCCAAGGGCAAGGTCGTGCACATGGGGCGCATCATCGTCAGGCTGCTGAAGGCCGCAAACGGCGAGCTCTCCTTCGACTGGGGCGCCGCGGCCGACGAGGCAAAGGCGGCCGAGAACAAGGCGGCCATGCTCGGTGCGCACTCGCCGTGGGCCTCGGAGGCGGCGGCGCTGCGTCCGATGCGCCAGCTGATGCAGCTGGTGCGCGAGCAGCAAAAGTCGCGCGGCACGCTCTTCGTCTATCACACCGACGGCTCGGTACCCTTGCCGTACCGTCTGGTGCACCCTATCGCGGGCGCCGACGGGAGTGAGAGCGACGACGACGACGACGACGCGGACATGGCTGTGTGCGTGAAGGTGGAGGCCGAGGACGACGCCGCCGCCGACGATCTCGAGGAGGTGCATGAGGCGGAGCTTGTCGCGCCGCCGCCGCGGCTCGCGCCGCGGCTCGAGGTGTGCGACAAGGACGGCACCTGGAAGGACGTCGCGCGCTGCATCGAGAGGTCGTACATAGCGGACGACGTGGGCGCCCTCCACGCGCTCGCTGCGGCGGAGGGCGCGCCGCTGCCGGCCGCACCGGCGATGCCGCGCGTGAGCGTGCAGGGCCTCGTGCTGAGCTTTGCGGAGCACGCGTGGTGCGCCGAGCAGCGGCGCGACGGTGCCGCTGTCGGTGCCTTCTTCCCCATCCGCGTGCAGGGCGTCGACACGCCAATCGCGTTCGCGCGCTGCGTGCATATGGATCTGCGCAACGAGGAGCGCCGCCAGCGCGGCTCGACGACGGCCCCGCGGCTGTGGCTGCACAAGCAGCTGCGCGACGGCGCCTTCTTCGTCTTGCACGGGCGCAAGGTCGTCAACGACGAGGCGAGTGCCATGTGGCACGGCGGCTGCTTCGAGGAGGCGACCTCCAAGTTCGATCCTTTCCTCAAGCTGGCCATCCACGGCGGGCAGGGCGAGATGAACTACGCCAAGTACGGGCTGCTGAAGGAGTACTGGGCGGCGGGCTGCGACGAGGCGGCGGCCGCCCCGCTCCCGCCCGAGCTGCAGTACGCGAACGCCAAGAAGTGGAAGCCAAAGGCGTCGCACCTGTGGCCAAAGGTTGGCGCGGGCGTGCTCGCGCTGGTGCACCTCTCGCCCGAGTTCTTCGAACTCGACCCGTCCAAGACGCGCGTGCTGCGGCGCGACGGCGGTGAGGCCACGACCAACCTCACGCTGGGAAGCCTCGTCAGCGCGATTCGCAC